TTGGTGAGACCTCGTCTCTACAGTACATCAAAAAATTAGCTGGGTGTGGTAGCGCACACCTGTAGTTCCAGCTCCTTGGAAGGCTGGGGCAGAAGGATCGCCGGAACCCATCAGGCTGTGGTGGCCAGAAGCGTGCCACTACACTCCAGCCTGGGTGGCGGAGGGAGACTCCCATGCAAAAAAAAACAAACCAACTTTCACATAAAACCTCACTTCATCCTCACCACTGCCCCAATGTAGGTATTACTAATCCTCATCATGCAGATAAGAAAACCGAAGCTGCCAGCCCAAGGTCACAGCCACTATCTGGTGGACTTGGATTTAAACCCAGGCTGTGAGAATTATTATCCCCTGAGCTATTGTCTGCTTTAAATCATACATACATAAAGAATTATACATATTCATACATACATTTTTTTTCTCTTATCAATCCTAATGATTTATTTTTTTTTTTGAGTTGGGATCTTACTCTGTCGACAGGCTGGAATACAGTGGCACCATCACAGCTCACTGTAGCCTCGACCTCCCGGGCTCAGGCAATCCTCCCGCCTCAGCCTCCTGAGTAGCTGGGACTACAGGCACACACCCAGTTAATATTTTTCATTTTTTAAAAATAGAGACAAGGTCTCACTATATTGCCCAGGCTGGACTCAAACTCCTGGGCTCAATTGGTTCTCCTGGCTTGGCCTCCCAAAGAGCTGCGATTACAGGCATAAGCCACTGTGCCTGGCTCTACGATATTTCTCAACAATCAAGTAAAAAAGCACACGGCAAAACACAGCAGATCTCTGACATTATCCCACATACTCTTGTGGTTCCCAGATACCCTCCTGACATACCCTATCACCCACATTCTGTTTACACAGAAGAGAAGAAGTCACACTGCTACACTGAGGGTTACTTAGGAATATGAAGGAACAGCCAAGATCAGGATTATCAGCACCAGAGGCGGGGATGATGGAGCGAACGCCACTCCTGAGCTGAGACGCCAGTCTGATGGAAAACACCCGCCTCAGCACAGGGCCGTCGAGACGGGAAAACCAGGACGCCCAGGCTCCGCTCTGATAAGCACCATAAAGCAGCACTGTCATTTGCCAGTGACTTTGTTTCCAACCAGCAAAATGAACACCTGTTGATGGGACCTGTCAGGTACAGAAAAAAAATGAGGTATTTCTGTGTCTCGTGCCAAGTTTCCCAGAAAAAGACAGATCGTGGTGGTTCACCTGATATCCCCCATCACAGGCTTGTGTGTCCAGGCTGGAAGGCTACAGGTCAGTGCTGCCTGGCAGGAGAGGGGAACAGGATGGAACCCCCAGTGACGAGCCCCTCTCTCCCGGCTCTCCACCCCCGTTCCCGGCCCTGCACCCACTCCCTCTGGATTCCACCGACATCTGTGAGCTTGTTAGGTTTCACTGGTGAAAAGACGGTCGAGGCAGGACCTACGGTTCCAGGCCCCAAACCTGGCCTTGAGCCAGGGTCTTCCTGGGAATCTCGTGGTAGCCACGCGACCTGAGAAAAGGCCACACGACCCACGTCTTCTGCGTGGCCCGGCGGAAGCCTCATGGGGCTGCTCTTTCTCTGTTCCCTCTGGGGCTGGTCTGACACAGGCTAGGGACTTCCCCTGGGAGAGCCATGAGTAAGGACAGGTAAGGTCCCGGCTACAGCCTCTGGGTCTGTTCTGTCTGTCTCCCCAACACCAAGCAACAAGGAAGTACGCCACGCAGAGATGGAGGCTGAGTGGGCAATGGAGGGCAAGAAACTCTCAAAATTGGTGCTACGTGTGTAATCACACCTGTAAGCCCGGCTACTCAGAAGGTTGGGGTGAGAGGACCACTTCAGCCTAAGAGTTCTAGACCGGCCTGGGCAACATAGGGAGACTCTGTTTCTAAAACAAAACACAAGCCAGGCTCAGTGGCTCAGCCTGTAATCCTGCGCCTTTGGGAGGCTGAGGTGAGTGGATTGCCTGAGCTTGCGGGTTCGAGACCTGACTGGGCAACTTGGTAAGACTTCATCTCTACAATAAATCAAAAATTAGCCGGGCAAGGTAGCATGCGCCTGTGGCTCCAGCTACTTGGAAGGCTGAGGTGGAAGGACTGCCTGAGCCCAGCAGGTCGAGGCTGAGGTGGCCACAAGCGTGACTCTGCACTCCAGCCTGGGCAACATAGGGAGACTCTGTTTCTAAAACAAAACACAAGCCAGGCTCAGTGGCTCAGCCTGTAATCCTGCGCCTTTGGGAGGCTGAGGTGAGTGGATTGCCTGAGCTTGCGGGTTCGAGACCTGACTGGGCAACTTGGTAAGACTTCATCTCTACAATAAATCAAAAATTAGCCGGGCAAGGTAGCATGCGCCTGTGGCTCCAGCTACTTGGAAGGCTGAGGTGGAAGGACTGCCTGAGCCCAGCAGGTCGAGGCTGAGGTGGCCACAAGCGTGACTCTGCACTCCAGCCTGGGCAACATAGGGAGACTCTGTTTCTAAAACAAAACACAAGCCAGGCTCAGTGGCTCAGCCTGTAATCCTGCGCCTTTGGGAGGCTGAGGTGAGTGGATTGCCTGAGCTTGCGGGTTCGAGACCTGACTGGGCAACTTGGTAAGACTTCATCTCTACAATAAATCAAAAATTAGCCGGGCAAGGTAGCATGCGCCTGTGGCTCCAGCTACTTGGAAGGCTGAGGTGGAAGGACTGCCTGAGCCCAGCAGGTCGAGGCTGAGGTGGCCACAAGCGTGACTCTGCACTCCAGCCTGGGCAACATAGGGAGACTCTGTTTCTAAAACAAAACACAAGCCAGGCTCAGTGGCTCAGCCTGTAATCCTGCGCCTTTGGGAGGCTGAGGTGAGTGGATTGCCTGAGCTTGCGGGTTCGAGACCTGACTGGGCAACTTGGTAAGACTTCATCTCTACAATAAATCAAAAATTAGCCGGGCAAGGTAGCATGCGCCTGTGGCTCCAGCTACTTGGAAGGCTGAGGTGGAAGGACTGCCTGAGCCCAGCAGGTCGAGGCTGAGGTGGCCACAAGCGTGACTCTGCACTCCAGCCTGGGCAACATAGGGAGACTCTGTTTCTAAAACAAAACACAAGCCAGGCTCAGTGGCTCAGCCTGTAATCCTGCGCCTTTGGGAGGCTGAGGTGAGTGGATTGCCTGAGCTTGCGGGTTCGAGACCTGACTGGGCAACTTGGTAAGACTTCATCTCTACAATAAATCAAAAATTAGCCGGGCAAGGTAGCATGCGCCTGTGGCTCCAGCTACTTGGAAGGCTGAGGTGGAAGGACTGCCTGAGCCCAGCAGGTCGAGGCTGAGGTGGCCACAAGCGTGACTCTGCACTCCAGCCTGGGCAACATAGGGAGACTCCAACTCAAAAAAAAAAAAAAATTAGCTGAGCGTGGTGTCATGCGCCTGTGGCTCCAGCTACAGAAGGCTGAGGTGGAAAGATCACCTGAGCCCAGCAGGTCGAGGCTGCAGTGGCTGTGAGTGTGCCCTGTACTCCAGCCTGGGCGACAGAGAACTCAACTAAAAAAATTTTTTTTTAAATCAACGAGATCAAGCCGGGCTCGGTGGCTCAGCCTGTAATCCCACGCCTTTGGGAGGCTGAGGTGAGTGGATTGCCTGAGCCCGTGGGTTCGAGACCTGCCTGGGCAGCAAGACCTCATCTCTACAATAAATCAAAAAATCAGCTGGGCGTGGTAGCGCATGCCTGTAATTCCGGCTACTCGGAAGGCTGAGGCGGAAGGATCGCAGAGCCCAGCAGGTCGAGGCTGCGGTGGCTGGGAGCGGCCACTGCACTCCAGTCTGGGCGACGGAGTGAGACTCCAACTCAGACAAAACAAAACAAAACAAAACACAGCAAAACAAAAACTCTTGAGGATAAGGTCAAAATGCAATATTCCTTTCTTCTCATTAACTAAGGATCAGAGAAGTCTGCCAGGGTGTGTGTGTGTGTGTGTGTGTGTGTGTTTGTGTGTTTGTGTGTATACACACACACACACATGGTTTAAGAAATGAAGCCTGGCTGGGCACAGTGGTTCACACCTGTAATCTCAGCACTTTGGGAGACCAAGGTGGGAGAATCGCCTGTGTCCAGGAATTTGAGACCTGCCTGAACAACCTAGCAAGATCCCATCTCCATAAAAAAATTTAAAAATTAAATAAAAAAGAAGCCTATCCCTTTTGGGCTGCACTCCAAAGATCAAGGAACGGTATTAATAACACAACTGGCAGGTTCTACTGTTTTGATGACGGAGTCATCCCAAAACTGCATTGACGATGAGCTCTAGGGATGGAAGGCTTCTGGTCTCTCTGCTTATGCAGAAATGTGGGGACTTAACCGTGTCCACTTGCTGAAATGGTTCACAGGTTACAGTGCATAAGTCCATCAAAGCGCGAGGAGAGAGTGCCCTTAGAGTATCCCTGAGAGACGGCCATGACTACCGGTTTTAACTTGCAAGCTGGTTCTGATGAGGACGTCTACGACATATCTCGCGGCACTGCAGGAAACTGGAATGTTCTGCGCCGATCTCTTCATTTCCATGCCTAAGTTCCTGCTCTACAGTTATGCGTTAATTAATAGCAATACTGTCGGCAAAGCCATGTCACTTTTTATGGAAATAAAGAGAAATGCAGTCTGATCTGTGGCTGCCACGTGGGCCGATTGGAAAGGTCACTGGGCTTGAAGTGCGGTCCGAGTCACATCCTGAGGCCAAGATTTCTCACCTGCGGCTAGGAGTCTGATTCCCACGCTCATTGCTTATAAGATTCAGGCAGTGAGGGCCGCTTGCTACTACCTCCCAGGTCTGTGTTGAGAGTGAAACGAGAATGAATTTGTGAGAAAACGCCGTGGAAGCTATGAAATGCTACTGAACGTGAGGCACAATGGTCCACATGATTCTGGCGTTAGGAGGGCTCTCCAGGGCTGGCCACTTCCAGAAACTCAGGATGGATCCAGTGAGCCACACGGCAGACTCCACTGGCCCGGTTCTCAAACGGCCCATGCCCCGGGAGCAGCTTACCTCGGTGGAGGGAAAGACCGTCCAGTTCCTGGGACGTAAATTCACAGACGCAGGCAAACAGCCTCTCTCCCTCTTTCAGACTGGGAATGGTCACAACTTCCACAAAACTGCTGGGAAACTGTCCTGAAAATAAAAGCGAACACACTGAATACTGAAAATCAATGGGGAGTATTACATTCCTTATTATCAAAATTTACTTTTCTGTATGCTTGCAAGGATAAAAACTTTTTTCCGAGTCCATGGACAGAAACACACTGAACACTCCTAACTGGAGCGCATGCAGCTGAAGGTGGCTGGGTACCCAACAGGCACACAACAGAACCCAGAAAGAGCAGCACCGCTTGGCAAGCCGGTGGGCATAGCCAGCCCGGGAGAGAAACACAAGGAGACAGGCTTGGTCGTCAAAGCTCCCAAGGTCTAGTGCGGGCACAAACGACCGTTCAGTACTGAAACCCAGAGTCACAGCAGGGGTACCCACATTGCTATGGAAGTTCAGAGAAGGTCGACCATAGGTCGGGAAGAAGACGAAAATTTTTATTAAAAGGATAGCATTTGAGTCTGAAGGTGGGTAGGGTTCGGTTTTGTTCTGTTTGAGACAGGATCTCACTCTGTCACCCAGGCTGGAGTGCAGTGGCATGGTCACAGCTCACCACGGCCTCGACTTCCTGGGCTCAAGCAATCCTCCCACCTCAGCCTCCCAAGTAGCTGGGACTACAGGTGTTCACCACCACACCCAGCTAATTTTTTTATTTTCTGTAGACATGAGGTCTCTCTCTGTTGCCCAGGCTGGTCTCAGACTCCTGGGCTCAAGTGATCCTCCCACATTAGCCTCCCAAAGGGCTGGGATTACAGGCGTGAACCTGAAAGAGGCTGACCTTAACACATATTTTAAAGAACAGGAGAGCACTAACCGGGTGCGTGGGATGTGGGGCAGACAGCACCCAGGATAGAGGGTGGCTTTTATGAGTTTGGGCCAGCGTGGATCTAAGAAGGAGTAAGCAGCCCGGGTAGGGTCTTCATAGGTGGTGGCGGAAAGACGGCCTGGCAGATGTAAAGGATCAAAAGCCGGATGGACTCGACCTGCTGAATGTCTCCATCTGCCTCCTCTAGACCCAGCCCTCGGCCTGAGCCGTGCTGGCCTCCTCCCTGGGTCACGGCACAAACTTCCTGGCCGGCCTCCCTGCTGGCCGGCCTCCCTGCTGGCCGGCCTCCCTGCCTTGGGTTCCGCCGGCCCCACCCTTCTCCGTCCGAGCAGGGTGCTCTCTGGAATACGCATCTGATTGTGCCGGCGCACTCTGGGGCTCGCCCACCTCCCCCACTGCTGGCCACACACGCACAGTCCCCCAAGACACATCTTCTGCTCACCCTCCGGCCACCCCACCCCGTGCCACGTGCCCTGACCTCCCCCAGGCCCCGTGTTCGCCCCCTGCCGTGGTCCCCGGACAAGCAGTCCTCTCCGCCTGTCCTCTCGGCCTGGCTGACTCCTGCTCGTCGTTTTCATCTCAGCCGAGATGCCAGTGACAACTGATCTCCTAAGCATGGATGAAGTGTCAACAAAGGCTTCTCTAAGGGCCTACAACCTTCGCCACCCAGATTTACACAAAGACAAGCACATACACGGCTGAGGATGAGACTAATGCAGGGCAGTGCTGGCTGGGAGAGGCCTCCCCCCATCCCCGGGCAGATTCTCAAAGAGGCTGACCTGAACACATATCCCAAAGAACAGGAGGATGCTCACTGCTCATGGGGTGTGTGGGAGAGGCGGCGTCCGGGGCGAGGGTGGTTTTCGCGAATCTGGACAAGGAACCAGAACAGCGAAGGCTGAATGGGGCTCCCCTGAGGATGAGGGAAGGTCACAGCTCAGCCTTCTGCTCGGACCAAGTGAGCAGTGAAAGAAGGGGAAGAAAAATGCTCAAAGAAGCCAGAGGACACCAGGTGAGGAGTCCTTTCGGCCCGTCGATCAGAGAGAAAGTTGGCCGTGAAAGCATGTCAACAATGGGCTTCTGAGAAAGAATAACACGTATTTTGAGAAGAGGAACGACAGCCCTGGGCTGGGAGGGGCGGCACGCGCCTGTCACCCAGCACTTGGGGAGGCTGAGGTGGGAGGAGCCCTTGGGGCCAGGCGTCGAAATCAGCCTGGGCAACATAGCCAGACCCCGTCTCTGTAAGGAAGGACACACAGGCCCAACACAAAAGACAAAGACCTGGGAAGGGCTAGGGAAGGCGAGGACAGGGCCTGGAGAGATGGGGGCCAGGGCACTGGGTGCCACCCTTCAGCCCCCTGTGGGAAAAGAAGGACACAAGAGGATTCTGGAAGCCACCGAGGCGGCTTCCCTTAAGCCTTGATCCTTCCCGTGGGAGCAGGCAGGGCCTGCAGTGGCTGTGTGGTGAGGCGTGTGCGTGTCGTACCTGTGACACCCTCCTTCCTCCCCAGAAGCCAGAATTCATCCACCACGGCCAGCACCTCGATGACGTCACCCACAAAGAGAGGCAGTTCTTCGGAGACGCTGGGGCAGAAGTCAAAGATGGCTCGGACCACCGAGCCAGCCTCCATGTTCACAGCCTGGAAAGGAAGTTCGGAGACAGAGGTGTCAACAGCAAGGCAATACCATGCCAGTCGATTTTCTTTTTTTTTTTTTTTTTTGAGTCGGAGTATCACTCCAGCACCCAGGCTGAGTGCAGGGGCACACTCACAGCCACCACAGCCTCGACCTGCTGGGCTCAGGCAGTCCTTCTGCCTCAGCCTTCCAAGCAGCTGGAACTATGCCACCATGCCTGGCTAATTTTTGGATTTATTGTAGAGACAAGGTCTTGCCAACTTGCCCAGGCCAGACTCGAACCCCTGAGCTCAGGCAATCTTCTCACCTCGGCCTCCCAAAGTGCTGGGATTATAGACTGACCCACTGCGCCCGGCCCCATGCCAGTCTATTTCTTGAGAAGGATAAAGAAAGATACTTAGGACAAATTCAAAGCCAAGCAAGTAAGTTTGTACCCTGTATCTTTTAAATCAAAGAACTTTTGCGTTTATTTATTTATTTATTTTGATTTGGGGTCTCACTGTCACTCAGGCTAAAGTGCAGTCGCATGCTTACGGCCACCATAGCCTCGACCAGCTGGGCTCAGGTGATCCTTCCACCTCAGCCTTCCAAGTAGCCTGAACTACAGGTGCACGCCACCATGTCTGGCTAATTCATTTATTTCTTTAAAAACAATAATTTCCTTGGCCAGGTGCAGTGGCTCACATCTGTAATCCTAGAATTTTGGGAGGCCAAGGAAGGAGGGTTGCTTGAGGCTGGGAGATGGAAACCACCCAGGGCAGCATAGCAAGACCCCATCTGAATTTTTAAATTTTTTTAAATAAAAAGAAAAAAATTATTTTAAAAAATTCCTCATATATTTTTCATTTAATTCTCAAAGGAATTCTAGAATTTTTTTTTTTAAAAATACCTCTGAGTGATATACAAGATTCAAGCACATGTGAGCTTTTCAAAATGCCTGAAGAAGGTAACAAGGAAGTTCACATTTTTATTTTTTATTTGTTTGAGTCATGGTCACACTCCATCGACCAGGCTGGAGTGCAGTGGCACAATCATGGCTCATGACAGCCTTGACTTCCTGGGCTCAGGTGATCCTTCTACCTCAGCCTCTTGACTAGCTGGAACTACAGAAATGTGCCACCACACAAGGCTAATTTTAAATTTTTTTTTTTTTTTTTGTAGAGACAGGATCTTACTATGTTACCCAGGCTGGTCTTGAACTCCTGGCCTCAAGCAATCCTCCTGCCCTGGCCTCCCAAAGTGCTGGGATTACAGGCGTGAGCTACCACAGCTGGCCAAAAAGTTAATCTTTTTCAAGTACCAGATAACATGCTTAGTATTTTAAAAATAGGGATTTTAAATAGGCATTTCATTTATTCTCTGCGACCACCTTAAAAATTGGGACACAGAAGTTTGACGTGGGGAGAAAACATAATCTGAGGTGATCACAGAGCTCGCAGCAACAGGTCAGGGCTCAAGCTGAGGGTGTCCTGCCTCTGACCTATTGAGACTGTGTCTACAAAACACATGTCGCGAGATCTGGGAAACAAAAGCAGGACCACACTACAGAGGCCAAAATTTAAAATCTATGGAAAGGCAAGAATCACACCAGGTATGGTGGCTCACACCTATAATCCCAGCATTTTGGGAGGCCAAGGTGAGAGGACTGCCTGGGCCCACAGGTTCGAGACCAGCCTGGATAACTTGGTCAGACTTCATCTCTCCAAAAAGAAAAAAAAAAAGCTGGGCATGGTGGCTCACACCTGTAGTTCCGGCTACTTGGAAGGCTGAGGCGGAAGGATCGTCGGAGCCCAGCAGGTGGATGCTGGGGTGGCTGTGAGCGTGCCACTGCCCTCCAGCCTGGGCAACAGAGTGAGACTGACTCCAAAAAAGAGAAAACACTGATGCATCTAAACACACACACTGGGCATATGCTGTACGAGGTCCCACAATGAGGTTCACAAACCGTCCTAGCAAAAGCGCTCGGTACCTCCTTGCTGAATATCACCATGGTCACCTTCCACGTCCTCCCCTTAGGAAGCCATGCACCGATGGCGGGGACTAGTTCACCCACCAAAGCAATTTTGGAACTCTTTCTGGAACAGACATCAGAGCTGTCATTGTTATTTGTTGAGGTCTGACCTTGAAGTTCGCGAACTTGCCACTGTGCGCTTATGTTGGCAGCTCTGCACAGATAACTGTACTGGAACACCCGCCCTGCTCAGCTGATGTGGCCCTCGTGACTTTTTTCTTTACCCAGAGATCAAGGAAATACTGAAAGGAAGACATCTGATGACACTCGGGACATCGCGGGTGGGTAGGAGGACGATGGCTATGGTGGCCGTTCCAGAAAAAGAGTTCCAAAATTGCTTTGACGGGTAGACTAGGCACTGGCGTTGGTGCATGGCTTCCCAAGCAGAGGACTTTGAAGATGGCCGCGGTGATATTCAGCAGTGAAGTATGTAATATTTTTTTCTAGGATGAGTTCGCGGACTTGATTGCCAGACCTCGTATAGCTCAGATATTGATGTGGAGTTCCCGTAAGACTTTAACAAGGGACAGGTGCAGTCAGTCGCTCATGCCTATAATCTCAGGATTTTGGGAGGCTGAAGCAGGAGGATCACTTGAGGCCAGGAGTTTGAGACTAGCCTGGGCAACATAGTGAGACCCCGTCCCTACAAAAATGTTTAAAAGGAGCCAGGCATGGTGGCACGTGCTTGTAGTCCCAGCTACTAGGGAGGATGAGGTGGAAGGATTGCTGGAGCCCAGGAATTAGGCTGCAGTGAGCTATAATTGGACCACTGCACTCCAGCCTGGGTGACAGAGCGAGACTCCCATCTCAAAAGAAAAAAAAAATTAATTAATCATGCAACACAATTAAACACAACCCATTATTTTATACTGTCCAGTAAAAGCAGTTTACGACTGTGTTGCTAGAACTTTTCTCCCTAAAGAGCTGACTCGGATCCACAGTGCACGAGAGAAGGGCTGGTAACGTTCCCCACAGCCTCCGTCCTCTCCCACCACAGGGTTTCTTTAAGTCCTAAAAAGACCCCAGTGATAATAACAGGCTGACAAGGCCGTGTCTATGAACATGAAGGACAAGACCCTGGAGTCAGAGACCCAGGACCAAACTCCAGCTCCACGACTGAGGTCACCCTGGACGGATTACTCACCTCCGGGTAATAGAGAAGGTGAGTAATCTGCCCAGAAAAAACAGCACAGTGGCACGATCACAGCTCGCTGCAGCCTCAACCTCCTGAGCTCGAATGAGCCTCACACCTCAGCCTCCCATTTAGCTGGGACTACAGGTGAGCGCCACCATGCATGGCTAATTTTTTGCTTTTTTGTAGAGATCACTCCTGGGCTCAAGTGATCCTTCCCTGTAAGCCTCCCAAAGTGTTGGGACTACAGGCGTGAGCCACCGTGCCTGGCCCACAATGTTTTCTTAGTAACCATCAGGAGGGATGGCTTTCTGATGAGAACAGTGCACCCATGCCTAATATCTGCTCAGCGCCCACGCAGTGCCCCGTGCTGGGCCAGTACGCCCCCCACTGCACCCTCACGGCGGTCCCACCATATACTGTCGGTTCCCAATCGGGAGGAGAGGGCACAGCCCAGAAAGAAGACGCTGTTTGTCCAAGGTCACAGCATGTGTCAGGGGACCGGGAAGCCGGAAACATCTGCCTCCAGAGCCTCGACCGGTATGCTAACGTCGCTCAATAACTGGCAGCAGCTATTATAAGCACCGTTCCCTTAGTCAGCGCGAATCTGTGTCCGGGATGCAGCCTCACCAGAGAATGTGGTATTTCAAGTATGTTAATACTACAGAACTTTCCATGTCAACATGTGAAAGCTTGGTTAATTTTGGTCATGTTTAAAAATGGATGCGCTTGGCTGGGCGCAGTGGCTCACGTCTGGAATCCCAGCACTTTGGAAGGTTGGGGCAGGAGGATCGCTTGAGCCCGGGAGTTTGAGACCAGCCTGGGCAACATGGTGAGACCTCGTCTCTACAAAAAATAAAAAAATTAGCTGGTGTGTGCCTTGGCGACGGAGTAAGACCCCCCCAAATCAAAAAAAAAATATATATATATAGTTTTTTGAGTTGGGGGGGTCTCACTCCGTTGCCCAGGCTGGAGTGCAGTGGCACACTCACGGCCACTCCAGCATCGACCCACTGGGCTCCAGCGATCCTTCCTCCTCAACCTTCCAAGTGGCCGGAACTACAGGCGAGAGCTACCATGCCTGGCTAATGTTTTTATTTATTGTAGAGATGAGGTCTCGCCAAGGTGCCCGGGCTGGTCTCGAACCCGTGGGCTCAGGCGATCCCCTCGTCTTGGTCTCCCGAAGTGCTGGGATGACAGGCTGAGCCACGGCGACCAGCCAACTATTTTTTAAAACAGGCACGTTACCTCCTTCCCTGACCTCTTCAGGAGCAGACACTGAACACGATTCCTTCTTTGGCTGATGGTCCCAAGCTCATGCTGAAGAGCAGCCATGACCGTGCCAGCTCCGAGACGCCAGGACTGCCCAACCGTGAGGCCCTTCCCCCTCGGTGCCCTCTGCATTCTGCTCTCCGTCTGCCTCCTCCACCCACCTTCCCACCCCCTTTCTATGTTGCTGCTGATGCCCTGCTGGGGAGGGGAACCCCGCATTCGCCACCAAGACTATAAGTTCCTGGATAAATACAACCAAACACGCCCCGAGTGAGGCTCGCAGCCCCTCTGGGTGGGCAGGGGCATGTGTTGGCGCTGGCTTTTCCAGTGATTCCTGCATGTGCGCTGAGGCCCCTTCTTGTTTTCTGGCTGTCTTCCAGAGGGCTGAGCCGCCAGATGTCAGACTTCCGCAGGAGGGTGGTGCCCTGAGTGCTTTTGTTGAACACCAAACATAATATTTTGCAACCTCCCAGCCGTCTATACGTTCCTAAAGCTCCTCAAGGCTGGGCCGAGTGGATGCAATTTTCCTTCTTTTGGTACATTTTCTCGAATTTCGTCTCGCTGTCAGCCTGAATATGCAC